GACTGGTTTGAGAAGAAAGAAAGGCTCTATAAATATCCTGAGTGAGGGAAGAATTCATCACTCAGCTCTTATAATACACCAGAGAAAACTGCTATAAAATCCCCAATCACTAAGAAAGGCCCAAGTGTGATTCACTCCTCAAGAGATATCAAGGAAACCAACCCCAGAGGTGAAGTGACCAGACAGAGAGGTGAAGTGACCAGACCAGAGGTGAAGGACCCAGATATCTCTCATGCCTTTGCTCACAGGACCATGGATTTGTGCTCACTGCCTGCTCTGTGACTGTGCCACAAGCACGTTTTCCCTTTAGAAAATAGCTTTTGGTGGCTGAATACCATCTCCTTGAAAAATAGAACATCTCCCCTTCAAAATACAGGCCTTACATAGGGATTTAAAAAGGGCTTTGACTTCTAGAAGGTTCAAGAGGAGCAACTACACGGACCTGCCTGTCATCCACAGATGAGATTTATTTTCCAGTCCCTCCCCATTTGTGCCTCAAGCAAGAACGCCGGGTCTCTCACACTAGACAGCAGTGATAGAGGGCTTTCCTGAGTCGTAACTGTTTTCCAGCTTCTCCGTACTTTCTTATCTGTTCTCTCTTCTCCAAACCCCTATGAGTGCTTGAAGTCATCTCTAAAATATAAACCCTCACTTATCAACAGGCAAAGTTGCATCCCGTGTAATCTCAGCAGCTACCAGCAAAAGGCCAAAGCAGAAACCCCACATCTCCTCTCCACAAGAATCCCTGAGGGATAGGAGCCCTGGGAAAGGAGGGTGACTCTGCAAGCACAGCAGAGCAAAGAGAAGATGGATGGAAAAGAGCAAAAGCTCAGAAGCAAATTTTCTTTACGTATGTTCTCTGTTGCCTTTGAGTGGCATTTCTGTCAACAAGAGGATTGCACCACACAGCAAAGACTCACAGAAGGGCACAGGAACATAGCCCAGCTGGTTTGTCTCAGTCATCAGTCTTCTTAAAAGCAATAGCTTCCAGTGCTGGAAGCTTAAATGGAACTTTCTTTCTAAATCGCTTTGATGATGTTCAGTGGGAAGCAGGTCCCAGGCTGGCAGGTGAGAGGTATTTTCAACTTGCATCTCATATAATTCCTCAGAAAATCAAGTACTCAGAGCAGCCCTCAGAGCCTCTGTCTTGAGAAGCATCAAGAGATTTTAGCACCCCTTCTTCACCAGGAATAATCTCTTATCCTTGGGGGTTATGCCCTGGCATTCTGCACTACATACCTGTTGTACTCAGTGTGCTGAGATGCTGGTTGAGAGACACTTGCCTCACTAACAACAAGCCACAATTCCTAGTTTCCTCTTCTAAATTAGCCATTCTTCCCAATTTTCCTTCTTTTGTGTACCTGCTGTTTCCTGCTACAGGCTTCATTTTCTCTGCACTTCAAGCATGCGGAAAGAATTGTACTGTCAAATAAATCAGCTCATATATTTGGCTATTTTTATTCCTCCTGCCATAACAACATGAGAACTGGATTTCTAGAACAACCTCTGGAGCTCAGGGAGGCAAAGTAATCATCTCAGATACAGCAGGATGCACTGAAGGCAACTTCCTAGTCAATAACTCCCTGTTACAGTGCTGGAAACTTTACTGGGAATCAGAGACATATCCTTTAGACAGTGCACACATCAAACCTTCATATCAGGTTTGTGTACCAAAGTCTACAATCATGGGGAAGATCAACCCACCACGCTACTGCAGACCAGGAGATTTCTGTTTCCCAGCRCTACTACGCTTCAAGTAAAGACACAGAAGAACTGCTCTTGCCATCAATATGCCCAGATCTAGGGTCTAGGAATGGAGGAAAACCAAGACTGAAAATTCAATTTGTTTGGAAAGGAGAGGAGAGCTAATCAAAGAATTTCCAGGCACAGCTCATTCTTCACAACTACGTTAGTCTCTAGCTGGCTAGGGAATCAGGTTCCCTCTTGCTTAGTCCCAAAGACAACACATCCATGCTACAGCAAATCCGGCCTTGCCCACTAGGACAGTAGGTGTTTTAGGCCTGGAGCCTCTTTTGTACATGTCTGTTCTGCACGCAGGCACATGCAGACACTGGTCTGAAAGGTACAGGCTGTGCAGTTTAGCAAATACTGCTCCAAGTCCGTAACTGCCTGTTCCTCACAAAGCTGTGCAGGAGATGCTAATCTTCRCAGGCTGCTTCTCTCTGGCACCTACCACCCTACACCCATCACCAGCAAAAGCCAGCACCCATGTGGTTGCTCTCTAAGCCCCAACGGCTCGGCTGTGTCAGGCATCCTTCAGCTTACCTTCTGTAAGGATGCCACAAGGATCAGTCTGCACCTGGTGGTTAATTACACAGCGTGCAAGTCTAAACTGGAGCAGCCTTCTGAGCTAACTCTGCTCTGTGGATAACTTGTAGTGTGAAACTGGATTGAGCTAAAATGAAGGAACAAAAAGGCATTATCATCAAAACATTAAAGAAAAAATGAAATTATTGAATGAGGRCATCTACTTTAATTCAGAATGTCACATTCACATCAGTCGTGGTTCAGAAAATACCTGGAGTCTTTGGAAGGTAGCACATTCTCAAGTTTCTCTGTACCTCCATACGGTTTTAATAATAAATCTTTTGCCTCAAAAATCCAAGTCTAAATGGTACCATTACGAAGTCAAACACCCTAAGGCTGGTGGTTTGGATGGGGCTCTTGCCACTCTTTATCACAGTTATGTGAGGTGGGAACTCCTCCAGCACCATCTGAGAGCAGACTGTGGGTAGATAAGGTTCCCCAATGCCTGCTCATAGGAGCGAGGAGGGCTGCCATATCTTCCACCTGGTCTGAGAAGGGAATTTGGTTCCCAAACTCTTGTCATAAGACAGAAATGATAAGGTGAGGTATCTGGCCTTGCATCTGCCACGAACAGCCTCCACGTCATCTATTTCTCCCTAGTACATCCAGGGCTCAGTGGCCAGAAGACTAGGAGGCACCATGTGGCCTGTTCTCCCTGGTTTGACAGCRCTGCCAACGCTGATGGAAATGGCATGTGCCACAGCCTCTCCTTGGATCACATCCTGAGCTCCTAGTGAGCAACTGCTCCCTCATCAAAAACCCCACCAACTCTGAAGGCATCAGYGCCTTCCTCTGACTCCCTCTCCTTGCACACAGAGCACATCAGAACCAGGTCTGAACTTGCAGTAGCTTCAGTCTTGGCAGTGAAGCATGTAGCTGTCATCACCCTCTGCTTCATGCCCAACGTGGGGTCCTTCAGAAAACCAGGGTGCAAAACTCCCTGTGGGGGCTGTGCTGGGAACACAGCTGGGAACCAGTTGAGGCCCAGGCCTGACAGCCAGGAGGGAAGACAATAACCTCTTTCCTTCTGCCTCAGAAAAGCCACATTTTTTACGATCATATTTATCAGGTGCTGGAAACTTGCAGGCTTGGCTACTCCTCTTGGCTTTGTGCTGGATATCCTCAGTGGAGCTGCCTCAACTGGAGCTGCTCATGGCTTGGGAAGTGAACAGCAAGTCTGGGTGGAAGAAAGCTCCAGTAACCACCTCGTCTTTATTTAGACACAAAGCAAATGTCACTCGGGCCTGGGCACACACGACCATAATGCTACTCCAGAGATGCAGGTGGAGACTTTTGAACAAGGCCATCAGTAGCTTGTCCTTTAACAGGATGGCATCCATAGTTATCTAAAGCCCTTCCTGCTCACCTTCTAGAGACCTTACTAGCTGCCTAGGGTTATTGCCCTCAAGCTGGCACCGTGAAGGACTCACAGTGAGTTATCTTCCTTCCATCAGGTCCATAACCTCCCGTTGGGCCTGTCCCAAATCCTGCCGCAACCAAACTGCAGTTCAGAGCTGGGCACACAGGCGTACGACATGAATCTTGCTGGGACGCTGCATGATAAACCTAATGAAATGTCTGGCTGCAGATGCCTGTTAATCCTTCTCTGGCTTCTTTCCTATCAAAGCATCATGTAAACCATTACACAGCCCTGCTGTTGACTTTGGTAGCCTTTGATCATTTATTCACAGGCTGGACAGATTCTCTCCATTATGAATTACAGACCTCTAATTGGATTGAGGGCCAAGCCTGCACCTTCCCCTGTAATTTAGCTTTAATTAATGCCCATTCATTATCAACTGTTATCAGCTGGGCTTAGACTTAATGTCAGCAGGTTATTATCCAGAGGATCGGCATGGATTGTTTTCATCTCCTTTATTATCCATTTCAGTAACGTCCCCCCTCCCCTGTTGACAGACGTACACAAAACGTGAAGGTCAGCATAAAGGAATACTGTTAAGGGACAACGGCTCTTCTTCAAAGCCCGCTAAAGTCAAGGAACAGTCTCCACATGTCTTCAGGTCAGTGCTGAAGGCACAGTGGGCAAACCAAAATGCTCTTGCCTTTTAAAGGACCTACGTAAAATTTTACCTTTTAGCTGAGGCACAAAGTCTGTAGCTGAGAGTGGAAACTGCTAAGTCTTTCCTGGGAGTAGTTTTGAAAGAATTGGGACAACTTTTTTTTTCCCCTCTCTTTTTTTTCTTTTCTGTAAGAAAGAAAAGAAAAAGAAACCTTTCTGTCTTTGTTCCTTTATCTAATTTCCTCATCTCCCCCCTCCACCATCAAAACAGCARCCATCAAAGTATCACAACAAAATCAAAAAATCAGCAAACTGAATATCCAGAAAAGGGCTTCAGAGACTGCTTAAAAATGGAGATTTGGGGAAGAAAGAAGAGAGTTTGGTGAAGACTCTCTATCCTGCATCTGTTCTCCTTGCTGCAGTACCAATCTGCAAGGTCTACTGAGGGTCCTCTAGCAGACCCAAGCACTCCAAACCCAAGTCAACCATGGGCCACTTTTTGCTGCCCCTCTTTGCCCTCCACTGCTACTTGCCCTCCACTGCAAGTAGCTCATGGTGAAAGCTCTCCTTTCAGATTCAGGGGAGCAAGGGATCTTGAGATGCCAGAAAGCACACAGATCTTGGGCAGGAACCAGGCACGGCTTTYACTGTCTCTCACACTCCCTCACAGCTGCTCCTCACAGATGCTCGGACATTCCTCAAGAGCTCCCAAGGATTTGGGGCTTGGCTTAGTCCTTGTGATGTGAGGAGAAACACGCTCCTTGAGCTCTATCATTACAGCTGAGATGCTCACCAGTCCTGCTCCTGACTCCTGGAGATGGATTATTTGCAGGAGAATCACAGAGGTTTTGGGTCATTTGGTCTCTGAGACCAGAGAATCCAGGCTGCAGCATCTGGCAAGCAACACAACAGTATCAGTTCCTCCTAGCAGGGCATCTGACCTACTGCTGCCAATAGCCCTTCTCTGACACAGCTGCTTTTGTTTAAAGATATCRACTCCAAGCCTTACAAGAAGGCAGTAGCAAATCTAGGAGCAAGAGCTCACTTTGGTGGCTAACTCCCAKCAGACACAGAGCTTGTAGCTTCTGTGTACAGTTCCTCCCCAAGGTACTACTACCCCAGCCAATCTGGCCAGAGCATAAAATGTGCAGAGGACTGATAAGGCTCATCAGAGCTCCTGCTGAGCTGAGATGCCAACATATAGCACTACATCTAAAGCAAAGGCCTCTTCAACACATAGTAAGAGCTACAATTTGTTGGGGGGGAAGGTGACAGTGACAAAGGTAAGAGATGGCATCATCCTTTCAAAATAAAGGATGAAGCATTGGACATATGTACTCACTCTCATCTCGTGCAACCTCCTACCTACCAGCAGCACCAGTAATTCCAATCGAGACCACATAGGCACAGAAACAAGTCACAAACCAAACAGTGAAGTTAAAGCATGCCACTGCAACACAGGAATTCCCAGACACAAGTTAGTACCTCCAGGCAAGCRGAAAGGAGGGAGAAGTTTGGGGGAACAGTGGCAAATTATCTCATCTTGGAAAATTACCCGGAGCTGGGTGCACCATCCATCCAAGCGCTTTTCCCTGCAAAGACTTCATGTGGTTTAATTAGTCTAATTTGGAGGTCAGATCCGTTTTGCTGAAGATGCCTGCCTAGAGCAGCCCTTGCAAGCTTGAAAGCAACTGAAACTGTTTCCACTTGCATATCAAGCCCTGAGGCTTGACAAAACCAGGGTAAACACATCAACAAAACACTTTAACCCCCCCCCCCCCAAAAAAAAAAGCCTTTACAAACCCTCAAGGCTGGAAAATCTTAACCAAGGAAGAAATTCCTGGTATTTTGGCTCTCTTGTCAGGGGGAGCAGTCAGCTGCACAAAGGGGAGAGAAGGGAATGCTGGCCCAAGACACAACCCCAACTAATGTCTCCCTGTGGGATCTCATGGAGGTGCAAGGTCCCTGTGGAGCAGGCAGCGTGGAGCGAGGCCTTCGGCCCCATCRCCCACAGCTGCTTCCATCCCAGCAMGACAGGAGGGATGAGCTGGAGATTTATCTGGGTGCTGGTGCTGAGCAGCAGAGATCTGCTCGGTGTGCACTGACACAATGACTCCACGCCAGCAAGGTCCCCGCAGGAGCTGCCCAGGTGGCCTTGCCACTTACTGCGCTGTGACCTGCAGATTCCCACCAAGGAACGTCCCTTGCCATCCATGCGAGCCACCCACACCTGCAAGGCAAAGGCAGAGCAGGTGTGAGCAGCACAGGACCTCTATCCCAATGCAAGCAGGTTTGAGCCACTCAACGGGCTGTCCCAGGGCCACATTGAGGAAGGGGACCACGTTCACCCTCTGCATGAGCAAGGAACAGGCTTTGCATGACATCGTGCTGCTTTTCTAAGCTCTACAGTGAAAATAAGCTCTGCTCGACCTTGCACATGACCCAGACCCACACAGCAGAGCAGGGTTCAGTTCGCAGCTGTTCCTTTCAGGCTTTCCTCCTGCCCCAAACCTTTGCCACTGGCCGATAAGCAGTCAAAGGGACTGACAGGGCTCTGTTTTCCAGCGTGCTGGACTGATACTCCGTCCTGCAGGAAACAGATGGCCAGCGTGGATCYAGACACCGCACAGGCTTGCTCCAAGCCTCCTGGCTGCCATAYCCAGGCACTCTTCTGGCACGAATGGAGGGAGCCTGGCAGTTCTCCTACAGAGTCCGTGCAGGAGCTGGGAAGAAGCTTTTGAGATCTTTGCACCGCATGGAGGGAAAGATGCAAACTCTCCGCCTAGGGCCCTTTGAAAGGGGAAATACAGGCTGCATGCAAGGAGCACAGGGCACCCACTTTTCTAACAGGCCTTCAGAACACAGCAGCTGGAGGTGGGAGGGTGATAAACGTGGTGATGGTAKGGTGATAACCTGTCTATCCCACTTACACACCGTTAACTGGTCACAGGAGACAGCAGATTTGTGTGGCCCTTCCCTTCTCCATTTAGGTGAGAAGAGGGAAAGTGACAGCTTTAATTTGCTCTTCTTGGCAACAAACACACGTGGTCCTCRGCCATGCTGGGGCGCAGAGGGAGGCACGGGATGGGATGGGAGGCTTTCGGGCAGCACTGGGCAGTGTCTCTGCTGCAGCCTGGGGGATCTGCTTTGCTGGGGAGCGATTCACAGGGAGCTGRAAACGTGTCTCAGGGCACTGCCTTGTTTGCTGCAAGATGTGCTCCCACGCTCCTGGGAAAACAGCATGCCCGAGGCACGATTTCGCACRTCGTCAGCCTGCTCCTGGGAGCAAACAAGCGCATAAGGAAGCTGATTTTTTGGGGAGGAGACACTGTTGGAGGCCGCCACAGTGTCTGGCTGCTGGGAAGCGACTTGCTCAGCAAGCAGCCTTGTCCCGGGCCCTGCCAGGACCTGCTGCTGCTGGCAACGAGTCGGTTCGGCGCGTGGAATGGTGCCCGCGCCCATGGAGGAGAGCCTGCCGGTGAGCCCGTGGCCAAGTTTAGGGACGAAGCTGGGAGGCTGCTGGCAAGGGGGGCTGCAGCAGAGCGGGGTACGGCTGGTGGCTGCCGGCCGGCTCTTCTGTATCGTCTGGGCCACCTGTGGGAGCGGGTGCTGGCGCCGCGTGGCTCCATGGACGTATCCGGGTGGCGGCTGGTGCGTGTCCCCCGTACCAGATCCAAGCCCTCCAGGCCGTGGCACGGAAGGGCCGGGGGCATCCTCCTGCGAAGCTGTATTTCATGCTCGTCTTTTGTCCTCACTCCATTTACCCGGTAATTGCTTCTGGCTACCAGCAGCACAAAGTATCGGCACGAGGCCATTCTTGGGAGAGCCCCAGCTCCGGCACGGACAGCTTGCAAAGCAGGCAGCCCTCTGCAAACAGAGGCTTTCTTTCTCCTCGCCAATAACCCTTCCTGGAGCCTTCCCGAGTGCCCTTTCCAAGTGGGTCAATCAGTCTGGACTCGTTCTTGCAGCTTTTGCGAGCAAACAAAGTACCCGCCGCCCCCTTCCCCTTCTCCAAACACACACCTCCATGGTTATTCTACACCTACTGCAGTCTGTCCTCACATGGGAGGAAGGGCAGCAAAGAAAACAAAGCGACAAAGGCAAAGCGAAGCCCGGCTGCTCTGACACAAAGGCGACCGAGTGTGAATATCCGGCTCCCAGTCTCGGCGATCACTCCTCTTGCACAAGGCAGGTGTTAGTTTATATTCCGCTCCCTCCRCCGCCCTGCTCCTGCCCCAGTGCAGGAAAAACTCCTCAAATAGCTACTTGGAGCCACTTTATTTTGGATTCAAATCATTGGTATTCTGTAACAAGAGCTCTCACTTGGAGAGCTATCCTGCAAGAGCTGTTCCAGTTGATTTCCTCGCAGAGCTGAAGCCCTTCCTATAAAATCCCCCCCRTCTGCAGCCCGCTTGCTGAGCTATCAGCCAGGGTGCACCTCATTTCTTCTTTATCATGCTAAGCTCATCCCCTCCTCATTTTGTTTCCTTTTATTTCCCTTCCTTCACATCTGCATTACCGCAGAGCGCCGTTAATAAGATCTATTGCTAAATATTATCTGGCGTGCAGGTAATTTAATACGTGCTTGCCAGGCCGGTTGGAAAAGCAAACAGCTTCTCGCACCACTCTGCTTTCGGCTCAGCGACCTTAATTGCCTGGGCCACGCTGTACGCAGGGTAAATATTTGGCCCTGGCTCCGAACCCGTGCAGGCCCCTCCTGTTCCTGGTGTGCTGATCCAGCTGTCGGCCGTGGTCGGGATCGTAACAGCCCTGGAGAGGTGCAGTCACCTACAGACCGAGTGCCTGGGGTGAGCGGGTTCTGCCATGAACAGGGTCATGGCCAAGGGCCAATGGAAGAGGGAAGAAGGAAGA